TGTCAAACATTTCCAAACATGTACATACAATTATCGAATACAATGAAGTTTCAAAGGTGAGTTAAAACAAACAAACAAACCTTAAAATGATGTATAGTAGTATGTATGGGGGACAATAAGTTTGTTATCTGTAATGCGGTGGCTCAAGTGGTTAAGACACTGAACTGCAGGCTGTGGAAGGTCAGTAGTTCAGTTCGAGACCTAGGGTGCCGCATGACGGAGTGAGCTCCCATCTCTAGTTCCAGCTCCTGCCAACCTAGCAGTTCGAAAGCAAGAAATTGCAAGTAGATAAATAGGGACCACTTTGGTGGGAAGGTAACAGCGTTCCGTGCGCCTTGGTGTTTAGTTATGCCGGCCACATGACCACGGAAACGTCTTCGAACAGCGCTGGCTCCTTGGCTTTGAAACGGAGATGAGCACCGCAACCCTAGAGTCGGATTCGACTGGCTTTCGAGCAAGGGAACCTTTACTATATATATATATGGATGCACAAATCGAGGGATTTTACTCTAGATCAATTTAGGGAAAGGAAGGGGGGAAAGGAGGAAAATCAAAAAAAGAAGAGAGATGTTTATCCTTGTGTGGAACTACAGAGATGTATTAATATTTATCTCTTTTTGAAAATCTGAAGAGTGAGTGATATCCCCTTCCTAACTATACCACAGTCGTCACTGACTTTATTTTCTACTCCCTGATCCCGTGACCTCTCTTTGGTTTCACCTTCCCCACCAGGAGGGGAGGCAGCCCGATCTGGGAGTTAAGCCCATTGAAGAGGGCTGAAGGCAGACCTGCTTCTGATGGCGACCTTCCTTTAAAGGTAAAGGTTCCCTTGCTCAAAGGCAGTCGAATCCGACTCTAGGGTTGCGGTGCTCATCTCTGTTTCCAAGCCGAAGAGCCAGCGCTGTCCGAAGACGTTTCCGTGGTCATGTGGCCGGCATGACTAAACACCAAGGCGCACGGAACGCTGTTACCTTCCCACCAAAGTGGTACCTATTTATCTACTTGGAATTTGCAAGTATTTATCTACTTGCAATTTCTTGCTTTCGAACGGCTAGGTTGGCAGGAGGTGGGACCAGAGACGGGAGCTCACTCCGTCATGCGGCGCACTCGGGTCTCGAACTGCTGAACTACCGACTTTCCACAGCCTGCAGTTCAGCGTCTTAACCACTTGAGCCACCGCAGCTCCTGACCTTCCTTTAGCTTGCCTTAATTTTCATCCCCCCCTCTGCCCTGCCAAACTGTACTGTGTTTTCTGAGATGACTGAGCAGCAGGGGGGGACTCTGTGGAGGGCAAGCCGGTGCAGGGTTACTCCCGAGCAGCCCCACTGAGCCACACAGAGGCAGGGGCGGATTAAGGCTCACAGGTTCCCTAAGCACTGACCAATCTTCCACACAGTCAGGGGTCATTTCCTGCAGGAGCGCACAGGAGCAGAGCTCCGGCAGTAAAGAGCCCAGGGGGCGGGCACATGCAACAAGCCCCACCCCCTGCTCCCAGCAGCCCTCAGTCAGAGCAAGAAGCAGCCAGGTAAGTTGCAAAGCCCCCTCCCGGCCCCCTGGTCCAAAACAGTCCAGTGGCACCTTTAAGACCAAGTTTTATTCAGCAACAACCTCTCCCTCCTCTGCCAGGACAGATCTGCACGTTCTCTCCCCCCTCCCCAATAGCTAGCAATCCAAAACAGTCCAGTGGAGCCTGAGCGGTGGGTGTTGCCTTCTGACACACTTCTGGTGATGTCAGGGGGCATGGCATATGCAAATAAGTTATGCTAAAGAGTTATGCTAATGAGTTCCTGCACCTCTTTTTCTACGAAATGACCCCTACACACAGTCCATTTTAGTTGTTGACCGTCACCTGTCTGACCTGGAAGATCATACTACAGTGGCGCAGTGGGCCGGTAGGGTTGTTCTGAAATATAGACACTATCATCTGAACATCATCAGCCCAATTAGTATAACATCTTAGAGCACTTGTCAATGATCTTGCTTTATTGTGTCTTATTGTGTTTATTTATTGGCACAAAGTGCCCTATTTGTAAGCCGCCCTGAGCCCTTGTGGGGAGGGCGGGGGTATAAATGTAATAATAAAATAAAAAATATACAGTGCAGGTTGCAGCAATGCAAAAAATGTATTCATAAGATAACACAATATACTGTACAAACTAAGCTTTTCACCCTTTCCCCAACGTTGTGGTGCCCCCCTTTGGTCCTGGTGCCCTAAGCGCCTGCTTAGTCTGCTTCATGGTCCATCTGCCCCTGCACAGAGGGCATCCCCAGCGGCCGCCTGGCCTGAAACCCGCTCAGTCCCTCCGGGTCTGGGAGCTGGAAGAAGGACGTGAAGCGTTTTACTTCGTCGCCAGCACTGCACGGGTTAAAGGGACGAAGCTGTTTGCTGGAGAGGCGCGGGGGGG